GTAAAAAAAAATGCTGGAGTTGGGGATCATCGAAGAATCCCACAGTCAGTGGTCCAGCCCAATCGTGCTGGTGCCCAAACCTGATGGCACCACAAGATTTTGCAACGACTTCCGGCAACTAAACGAAGTATCCCAGTTCGACACGTACCCCATACCTCGCATAGATGAGCTAGTGGACCGTCTGGGTAATGCCCGGTACTTGACTACCCTAGACTTGACAAAGGGGTACTGGCAGATTCCCCTTGCGGAAGACGCAAAGGAAAAGACTGCGTTCTCTACACCAGAGGGTCTTTTTCAATATACTGTCCTCCTTTTTGGACTACATGGGGCCCCAGCTACCTTCCAGTGCCTCATGGACAAGCTATTACACCTGCATAACAGTCATGCTGCTGCCTACTTGGACGATGTGGTCATTCATATCCCAAACTGGGAAACCCACCTGGAGAAGGTGGAGGCAGTCCTCAATACCTTCAGGCGAGCTGGCCTTACAGCAAACCCTGCCAAGTGCGCTGTAGTGTTTACAGAGGCCAGATATCTTGGCTACGTTGTGGGAAAAGGTCTGGTAAAACCCCAAGTGAACAAGTTAGAGGCCATCCAAAATTGGCCCCGACCAAGTTGCAAGAAACAAGTCTGGACGTTCCTAGGTGTGGTGGGGTATTACCGACGATTTATCCCCCACTTTGCCACAAGGTCAAGCTCCCTGACAGACCTAGTGAAAGCCTATGGACCTGATCTGGTGAGATGGTCTGACGCAGCAGAGGAAGCATTCACAGACCTACGGACTGCCCTCTGCAGTAACCCCGTACTGATAGCCACTGATTTCACCATGGAGTTTATCCTGCAGACGGATGCATCGGAAGTAGGGTTGGGGGCTGTTCTATCACAGATGGTCGGGGAGGAGGAACACCCAATTCTATATCTCAGTCGGAAACTCCTTCTAAGGGAACAAAAATATGCAGTGGTGGAGAGAGAATGCCTTGCTGTAAAATGGGCCATGGAAACATTGCGTTACTACCTGCTCGGGTGCAGATTTGTAGCCCAGGGAGTTGTAGCTGTCATGCAGCTGTTACAGGAGGCACTATAGACAGCTGCAGTCCACAGGGCCCTGGCCTGGAACCCGGAGTAGAGGGTGGGCCTGGGTTCCCCCCAAACCTCCCAATTGACCTGGACTGTGGGTTCTCCCAGAGGGGAAGGTCTCTGGGCTGTTCCCCAACCCACATGGTGAATCTCTGAGGCAAGAAAATCCGCCAATAAGCGCAGGACCCACCAAGATAGAGGAGGAACTTTGTCAGAACAGGTATAGAGCCAATACTCATAACTTCAAATACAAAAATGATACATGCACACAGATAGCATAATCATATTCAGCAAATCATAACTTTTCTATTGACATCTTACTTGACACACTTTGTATAAGAATTGTTGCAATTATATTACAGTGGTAGCAACAATGATCTACATTGTCATATTTTAATCAGATAACATCACACCATGGGAAGGCGATTTTCCTCAAAAGTGGACGTTCCCTCTCTGACAAGTCTTCACCAGTTATCCCTATTCTGGGTTGCTGTCTCCCAGTGTGTGGTTCCAATGCCACATCTCTTGATGTTTATCTTGAGGGTGTCTTTAAAACATTTCTTTTGGCCCCCCCATTTCCTTTCTCCTTTGGTGAATTGGGCGTACAGCAGTTGTTTTGGTAAGCATACATCAGGCATGTGCACACAGTGCCCGCTACACCTCAGCTGGTACTGGATAATCAGGCCCTCAACACTGAAGATGTTGGCCTAGTGTGATGATCCTCCCACTTTATGTTGAGGATCTTCCGAAGAACGTGCTGATGCTGGCATTCCATTTTTTTCAGGTGTTTTCTGTAGGTCACCCAAGTCTCAAAGCCATAGAGGAGAGTTGGGATTAGCACCGTTTTATAAACTAAAAGTCTAGTATGTGTTCTGATGTGATTGTTCAACATCTGGCGAGACAGTCTACCAAAGGCAAGGCTGGCACAGCGAATTCTGTGCTGAATCTCGACATCTATGTCTGCTCTCTGTGAGAGACGGCTGCCAAGATAGGCAAAGTATTCAACATTTTCCAGATCTTCTTTGTCAATATAGATCTTCCTTGCTGGGTCTGATGATTGACCAGGGACTGGCTAGTGGAGAACTTTTGTTTTGCCGATGTTCAGAGTTAGTTTCAGGCTTTTGTAAGCTTCAGAAAAGCAATTAAGGCTATTTGAAGATCCTCCTTTGAGTGCACAATCCTCTGCATAGCGGAGTTTGGTTATTGTTGCCGATATGACTTTAGTTCTGGCACAGAGACAAGAAAGGTTGAAGGGGTTGCCGTCAATCCGATGTTGGATGCCAATGCCCTGTGGTAGACAGTCTTGGGTTAGTGTTTTCATAGCTGCTAAGAAAATGGAGAAAAGGGTGGGTGCCAGTACACAACCTTGTTTTACGCCAGTTCGGATGACAAAGGGCTCAGAGGTAGAGCCACTGCACAGGATGGAGGCAGTCATCTGGTCCTGGAGGAGTCTTACAATGATGATAAATTTGCTTGGGCAGCCAAACTTTGTCATGATTTTCCACAGAGCCTCACAGCTGACAGAGTTGAAGGCTTTGTCACATTGATAAAGGCCATATTCAGTTCCTGGTGTTATTCTTGACATTTTCCCTAGATCTGCCTGGCTGCAAAAATCATGTCAGTTGTGCCTCGTGATGGTCTGAAGCTGCACTGGGACTCTGGAAGCACATCTTCTGCAAGAGGGATCAGGCAATTCAGTAAGATACCAGCAAGAATCTTCCCAGCGATGGAGAGGAAAGCAATGCCTCAATAGTTGCCACTGTCAGCCCTGTCTCCCTTTTTGAAAATGGTGATGATGGTAGCATTACGTAAGTCAGCAGGGATTTCTTCGGTGCGCCAGATTTTGAGGAGCAATAAGTGAAGCTTGTTAGTCAGTGTTTCTCCCCCAACTTTCAGTACTTCAGCTGGTATGCCATCAGGACCTGGAGCCTTTTTGTTCTTCATTTGTTTAATTGTTTTGCAGACCTCCTCAGGTGTTGGTGGGTTGGCAAGAGTTTCCTAGATTGGGTGCTGAGGGATGGAGTCGATGGTGTTGTCAGTCACACTTGAGTCTCAATTTAGAAGCTTTTGGTTGTGTTCCTTCCAGCGCTCTTTGATGGATTTGTTATCTTTAAGAAGGGCACTACCATCTTCGGAGCTCAGAGGTGTGAGGCCACATGAGCTTGGTCCTTACAGGGCCTGTGTCTCACAAAAAAAGCTCTTCATATCGTGTCTGTCAGCGAATGTTTGGATTTCTTTTGCTTTGTCCTCCCACCATTTGTTTTTGATTTCTTGGATCCTCCTTTGAACTTCAGCTTTGAGCTGATGGAAAGAGCTCTGTTTCTGACTGGACAGTGGTTGGTTTTGCCAGTCGCAGAAATCTTTTCTCTTCTGGTTCAAAAGGGCTGTAATCTCAATGTTGTTGTTGTCAAACCAGTCCTGATGGCGGCGGGTAGCAAGGGCAATGGATTCTTCGCAAACTTCATGAATGGTCTGTTTTAGGGCTTCCCAGCCTTCTTTGACACTTGTGTTGTCATTTCCAGGTGTGCATATGGCCAGGGGCGGCAGGTTTGTATAATTTTTGGTAGTGCCCCCCCTCCACCCCCCCGCTCGCCTGCCTTGTAAGCCGATATATATTTTGTTAAATAATGTAAAAATGGATTGGAAACAGTAAGCGTTTAATAGTTTCCCTTATATTACAATATCACTATCGTAAGAAAAAAATATTTAACTAAGAATATCAATGTATTTAATACTCTTTTGAATATAGAAACAACCAAGCACTATTCACTCATGAAAGCTTATGCTCCAATACTTCTGTTAGTTTATAAGGTGCCACAGGACTCTTTGTCACTTTCTGAAGATTATGTTTGTGATCACAAGGTCGTGCTCTGTACATTTGCTGAGTAGAAGGATGCCATTGGAATTGGTCTTGCCCACTCCTTCCTTCCTTCCCAGTGGTGCTACTCCATATATTAGAATCTTGGCCAACTCTTGCATTAAAGTCCCGTACGAGGATTATCTTATCTGTTTTTGGAATGGATGACAAACTTGTATCAAGGTCAGTGTAGAAGGATTCTTTCTGTTCTTCAGTGTCAAGAGTTGGTTCATATGCACTGACAATAGTGGCAAATGACTTATTGACCAATTGGATGCGGAGGGTCATAAGGCGCTCATTGATGCCGACGGGGAGGTCAGTCTGATGGTTGACTAGAAGGTTTTTGATTAGAAAGCCAACACCGTGTATTCGCCTGTCGCTTGCTGGTTTTCCTTTTCAGAAGAAAGCGCCCTCTTCCCTCAAGGTGCCTTCATCTGCACGTCTTGTTTCGCTGAGAGCAGCGATGTCGATGCTGTACTCGAGAGGTGGTTGTTAAAGTTGTCGTGGAAGTCTGTGAGGGAGTTTAGATTGCCTGTCCAGAGGATGCAAATATCATCACTGTATCGCAAGGTATATCATTGGTTTTGTGGTACATTTGTCCAGAAGTCTTTCACTCAGGTGGCCCATGAAGAGGCTGGCCTGTTAGGAAGCCATCCTAGTCCCCATGACTATTCCCCTGGTTTGAACAAAGTGTTTGCTGCTGAATGTAAAGTTGTTATGGGTGAGGATGAAATGAATGAGTTTGGTGATGTGTTTGGGGTGGAGATCTGAGGGCTGCCCATTGTCTTGTAGATATCTGAGATAGGCAGCGATGCCATTATGGTGAAGGACGTTGGTGTATAGGGAGGTGACACCCATGGTGGCAAGGACAGTGTTCTGAGGGAGGTTGTTAATATTGTGGTGTTTCTGGAGCAAGCACAGCATGAGAGAGAGGCCCCAGACTAGCCAATAGTGCAGTGGTTGGAGCACAGAGCGGGGCTGGGCTGATGCGGAGCAGGGACTTGAACTTGGGTCTCCTGCAGCCCAGCTGAAGCCCTCACCACTGGCTAGTTGAGAAGGGGCTTTGCTCATTCTTGCTTTCTCTGGCCAGAGATTCCAGTCTGGCCCTGAGAAAACTCCCTGGTGACACGTGAGTTGAATCTGGTATGTCCTCTTGAAAAGCTTTGGTTTCAAGGAATTACCATTTTCCAACAAGACCACTTTTGCTAGATATTCTTGACCAGCTCCATTTCTGACTAATTTGTCTGTTGGTTAATCATTGTCCGAGCTCACACATGTTATGAGTATAGAATTCCTTTATTCTCTCTGTCAGCTGCTATTACAGGGATTTCAACTCTGATTAAAAAAAATTAAAATATTGGATCCCCCCTGGACTCCTTAGAGATCCCTTTGGAGACCTCCCAGATCCCCCTAAAGACTCCTAGATCCCTTTGGAAATCACTGTATATCACCATGGAGATCAAACAGACTCATCCAGGGGTCAGACCCAGAGAGCAACCTGGATCAGCTCAAAGCACTTCAGATATTACCCTAAGTCAAACCTGAGATTGCCCCAAGAATCATTCCTTCTCAGCTGTGGGATACTCTAAGATCAACCCAGAACAGGAGATGCGAGGAACAAAACTGTATTTTATCCTAAAAAATGTAACGATTTTGGACGGATTCTCCCTGGATGTCCTGTCTTGCCTTGCACTCGTTATCCAGCACTTTCCTGTCTGCTACAACAACATGAATCCTTCACGTGTCCACTGAAAAATTCATTGGGTTGAACTTTCCATTAGCTCAAAGGGCAGCTGTCCTCTGTCGGTGCAGCATCTCTGCAAACACAAATGCTAGTGGAAAATCCAGAGGTCTGGCTCCAACACAGGACCTGCTTCTAACCCTCACAGTTTGTGTGGAGGAGTGAACAGGGCAGGACAAAGTGTGAACCCCTGAGCTTTCTCCTTCCCTGACATTGAGAGCCAGGTCCTGCACTCTTTGGGTAGGGAGTCTCCTGGGACAGTTCCCAGTCTGGCTGTCAGCCACCCACAGGGTGTGTGTTTTACCCTGTGTCTTAATGGGGTACAAATCAAACTGTCTTAGCCCATGCCTACCTACAAACTTTGGTCAATGTAAGTTACATTAGCACACAGCCACCGCAGTTAGTATATCACTTGTGCGTGTGCACACTTGGCTCCTTGTGTTAATGTGGCACATACTCCCCAGGAGTGCTTATGTCGCTGCACAGTGTGGTGCACCATCCCAATGTGCAATGATTGTGGGGCTGCAGGGGTTACTGGCAAAGGGTCAACTTCCCACTGTGCAACTTTTCCCATCCCATAATGTCATCTATAGCCCATAATTTTGCACCTTTTTTTCAAAATCACATGAACGTGCACCTTGCTAGCTGCCACCTCTGATAGAAGCATGGAGTCTGCACAGCTCTTCACTAATGTCACAAGCATTGCAAGCATAGGGTGCACGATCCTCTGGCATTTGTAAAGCTATGAGGAGAACTGAATCAGCGGGGAACATGATAATTTCTTGGAGGACAGATTGTTGTGGGACATGGTGAGAACCAATTCAAGGTTGTTGGTGGTGTGAAGCTGTGGCTGTCCTTAATGTCCCCCAGGATGGCAGTGGCTCGGCTTCAGCCTTTGATACCATGTGCAATATTGAGAAGGGGAGGAGGGAGGTGCTGCAATGGAGATCTCCATGGATTGCACAGGGAGGTGAGCCTGGGATTGTTGAACCTGTAGGTCCACAAGAGTCTGCAGCAACTGTGTTTGTGGCCAGAGAAGCTCCATGATGTCCTGGTGCATCTCCCTCTCCTTTTCTGGCAGGGACTCCTGGGTCTTTCTCCTGTCCACTCTTTCTTTCTCCAGGCTGTCTGCAGTGTTCACCCTCCAGGTGAACCTCTGTTCGTGGTTTGATGCAGCACTGGCTTGCAGGATCTCCCTGAACATGTCACCCAGAGTCCTCTTCATTCTCCTTCTTATCTGGTTCCATGGGTGTGGAGGGGGACTGCCTCAAAGCCGCAATGGCGGCAGCAGCTACAGATAACACAGAGGTACAACAAAAAGCAAAAGTTAAGATTCTGAACTCCTTTCCCTTGCTCCCCTAAAGTTTTAAACAAGACATGCGGATTGATACTTCTGCCTCAGAGCTCTTGTGCACTGCACCACTCAGAGCTCCAGCTATGGTGAGTACGGCTTGCCAGTGGTGAGGGAGATGAAGAGGGAATTGCTCAGTTGCATGAAGCTATGAGTATAGGGCAATAGCACTGAATCCTGGCACCCTTTTCTATGAAGGTGTGTGTGGGGGGGACTCCTGAGGGTGACAAAGGCACAGAGAGCACAGCTGCTGCTGTCATCCCAAAGCCGCCCAGGCCTATATGCTGCTAGCCTGTGTACTGCAATGGTGCCTGCTGAAGTTATTGCTGACTGGCATGAGAAAGTGTCCTACCATGGAGGAAGCAATAAGACTGCCATGCCTGGAAACCTTTGGCAGAGGATTGCAGTGTACCGCCATGGAAGTTTTATTAAGCTGTCTCAGGAGGATTCAAGGGACATCCCTGGGCACATAAACAAACAAGCTGCTCCTCATGCCCCCCCCCCCCATGCTTAACTCTACAGGGCGAATGAAAAGCAACTCTACCTCTCTTCGTTTGTTTACTCTTCTAGTAGAAGTAAATTAAAGATTGCTGTTTCCTGCTAAGTTGAATTTTCAAAGATAATGGGAAATACATTTACACACTTACCTTCCCCTGCACTGGAATCACCTGTGCTAGACTGATGAGACTGACTGGATTGAGGTGGAGTCTCAAATAGATCCTGGCTCGCACCATAGCTGGACACCTCCAGTCACATGCCCCATCCTCCTCCTCTTCCTCCTCCACCTCCTCCTCACTGTCCATGCCAGGGGCCTGTGGCTTGGGCTCCTTGGAGGTAGCCATGGTGGTGTGCAGGGTGGTGGTTGGGTCCCCCCCATGTATGGTATGTTGCTCTTTGTAACAATGGCAAGTCTGTGGCTTGGCACCAGATTAACTGTCAGCCTCCCTGGACTTCTGCTACACCTGCCACAGTTCCTTCACTTTCACAGAGCACTGCTACTGGGCCCTGTCACACCCCTGCTCTTGCACCCCCCATTCAGACTGCTCATAGATGTCCATGTTCCTGTGGCTGGTCTGTAGCTGTGCCTGCACCTGGAGGAACTAAGGACCAGCACAAATCCCACCATTTTCCACTGCAAGTGCGAGGCACATTTTTTTGACCTGCCGTCTCTCATATAAACACGGCGCAATGGGGATATTTATTTAATTTTAAAAAGAAAAAACCCCCACCCTTTTAGCCAAGACACTCCACGGCACACGCTTCTCCCTCTGGGGATAGGATGAGAGAACAAACAACACATGACAGATGGGTAGTCATTTGCTTAATGCACCCCAGGAAGGCGATGATGATGACTGTGGTATAAAAACCTATATAGAATAGAATAGACTCTTGATTTAAAAATTGCCAGTGATGCAGAATCCACCATAACCACTGGTGAGTTGTTCCAATGGTTAATTGCTCTCACTGTTAAACATTTGTGCTGTATTTCAAGTCTGAATTTGCCTAGCTTCAACTTCTGTTGGATCTTGTTATAGTTTTCTCTGCTAGACTGAAGAGCCTCAGTTATCCAGGATTTGTTCCCCATGAAGGTACTTGTTGACTACAATCAAATCAACCCTTAACCTTATATGTCTTAAGCTAAATAGATTGAGCTCCTTTGTCTATCACAAAAAGAGATGTTTTCTAATACTTTAATCATTCTCATGGCTTTTCTCTGTACCCTCTCCAAATTATCAACAGCCTCTTGCATTGTGGACACCAGAACTAGACACAATATTCCAGTAGCGGTTGCACCAATGCCAAATACAGAGGTAAAATAATCTCCTTATGCCTACTTGAGTGTCCCCTATTTATAAATCCAAGGATCACATTAGTCATTTTGGCCATAGCATTGCTCATGGTCAGCTGATTATCCATCGTGACCCCCAAGTCCTTTTCAGAGGCAATGCTTCCCAGGGTAGAATCCCCCATCATGTAAGTACGGCCTGCATCCTTTATAATCATTTTGAAAAGTATTTTGTTTCTTTGCACCCAGTTTACCAAGCGATCCACTCTGGGACAGTGCTGTAGTCAAAGAGGCTGTACAGCCTTCACTAGCAGTGAATATAGTGGGGGTGGCGGCAGAGTGAATTACAGCAACTGTGAGGCATTCAAAGTGGTGGACATAGCAGTGGAGGGGTTGCTCAGTGTTCCCCCCAGGGTGGGAGATGAACTCACGTGAATGCACCTATGAGCTCAGGTCTTCACTGACCAAGAACAGCAACTGTGAGTGGGGTGCAGTGCAGGGAGAGGGGAGTGGAGTGATAAAGGAACATTTGTCTGTAAGATTTTCACACTCTGAGGATCCCCTCCGAGGATCATTACCTTGTTGTGATTGAGGGGCTTGTGTTCCAGTGAACCCCAGGGCTATGTCATCTGGAGCCCAGTGCTCCTGGTAGGGCCACCCTAGGTGAACAGGTCTAGGGGGAAGTTCCAGACTAAAAATGATCCACTCCAAGACCCTCATGAAGCCCCAAAATGATTACGTGAACCTCACCCGGATTAAGGATACCAGGACCCAGCCCTGGAGCCAGGCCTGGGGGTGGTATTAGGAGAGTGTCTGGTGGCCGGGTCACCCATGTAACCCAGCCGGGCCCAGCCCGAAAAGGCGTTGTGGACCCACCCCATGGGCTCACCACCTGCAAAGCGAAGAGCAAGGATCGGGTGCAACGCCGGAATGGCAGCAGGAGGGACGGACCAATGGCTTTAGGGATGTGGAATGTCACCTCGCTGGCGGGGAAGGAGCCAGACCTGGTGGAAGAGGTGGAAAGGTACTAACTAGATAGGGTCGGCCTCACCCCCACAAATAGCATTGGGTCTGGAAACAAACTTCTCGACCGAGGGTGGTCTCTTTCCTACTCAGGAGATTCCCCCCGTGAGAGGCCCCAGGTGGGTGTGGGTATACTCACAAGCCCCTGGCTGGGGACTGTGCAGTTGGAGTTTGTCCCGGTAGATGAGAAGGTCACCCAATGAGACTCTGGATCTCAGAGAGGAAAACCTGACTGTTGTTTGTGCCTGTGCACCTAATAGCAGTTCAGATAACTTGATCTTTCTGGAGACGGTGGGATCCGTGCTCGATAGCGTGCCACCTACCAATTCTGCAGGTCTACTGGGGGACTTCATCACCCACATGGGGAACCATGGAGATATCTGGAGGGGAGTGATTGGGAGGAACGGCCTCCCTGATCTGCTCCCAAGAACTGAGTTCCCTCTAAGCCTCCTGATTCAAGCTGAGAAAGTAGGGCAATCGGCTAGTTATCTTAGGTGCATGTAAACGAATGCAAGAAGCCGGGGAAACAAGCAGGAAGAATTGGAAGTCCTGGCACAATCAAGCAACTATGACATGATTGGAATAACAGAAACTTCACATGACTGTTCACATGCAGTTCACATGACTGAAGTACTGTCATGTATGGGTATAAACTGTTCAGGAAGGACAGGTATGGGAGGAAAAGGTGGAGGAGTTGCATTGTATGTAAGAGAGCGGTATGATTGCTCAGAGGTCCAGTTTGAAACTGGAGAAAAGCCTGTTGAGAGTCTTCAGGTTAAGTTTAGAGGTGAGAGCAACAAGAGTGATGTCATGGTGGGCATATGCTATAGACCACTGGATCAGAAGGATGAGGTAGATGAGGCTTTTTTCAGACAATTAACTGAAATTTCCAGATCACAGGCCCTGGTTCTAATGGGGAACTCCAATCACCCTGACATCTGCTGGGAGAGCAATACAGCGGTGTACAGACAATCCAGGAAGTTTTTGGAGAGTGTTGGGGACAACTTCCTAGTGCAAGTGCTGGAGGAACCAACTAGGGGCCGTACTCCTCTTGACCTGCTGCTTACAAACAGGGAAGAATTGGTTGGGGAAGTAGAAGTGGGTGGCAACCTAGGCAGCAGTGACTATGAGATGGTTGAGTTCAGGATCCTGACAAAAGGAAGAAAGGATGGTTGCAAAATACGGACCCTGGACTTCAGAAAAGCAGACTTTGACTCCCTTAGGGAACTGATGGGCAGGATCCCCTGGGAAGCTAATATGAGGGGGCAAAGAGTCCAGGACTCCTCAACCTGGTGGACACACCCTCCTTTCAGAAGGCAGAGCCAGAAGCCTCCAGTGAGATCAGATCTATTTCTGTTGTTGAGATCGCTATGACTGTGAAGTACCTTCGTAGTGGTCAGGCAGCAGGGGTGGATGAGATTCACTGGAGATGTTGAAAGCACTGGACAATGTTGGGGTGTTGTGATTAACATGGAAGGTGGGTGCAGCACCTCTGGACTGGCAAACTGATGTGGTGGTCCCAATCTCCCAATCTCAGAGAGTGTGTTCCAGCTATAGGGGGATCACACGCCTCAGCCTCCCTGGCAAAGCTTATGCCAGGGTGCTGAAGAGAAGGTTACACTCGTTAGTTGAACCTCGTATTCAGGAGGAACACTGTCCCGGCCATGGAATGACGGACCAGCTCTGTGCTCTCTCACAGATATTTGAGGGGTTGTGGGAGTTTGCTAAACCAGTCTACCTTTGTTTTGTAGACCTGGAGAAGGCATATGACCATAGTCCCTGAGATGTCTTGTGGGAAGTGCTGTGGGAGTATGAGGTGTGATGCTGCTTTTGCATGCTATCCAGTCTCTCTATTTTCGAAGTAAGAGTTGTGTTTGTATTCTTGGCATTATGTCAAGTTTATTCTAGGTTGGCGTTGGACTCCACCAATGGTGTGTCTTGTCCCCACTCCTGATCATGATTTTCATGGACAGGCTATCAAGGCGCAGCCAAGCTGTGGAGTGCATCCAGTACAGGGACTCAGAGGTGGCATCTCTGCTGTTTGCAGATGATGTCCTTCTTGCTTCTTCAGACTGCAATCTCCGATGTGCACTTGAACGTTTTGCTGCTGAGTGTGAAGTGGCTGGGATGA